TGTTAACGAAATACTGCAAAGAGAAAAAGAGAGCCTTAAAGTACTCCCTTTTCTGGATATTTCATCTGTATACCTTTACATATGTCAGGTCAATGGCTATTTTTTTCAATACCAATACAATACCAATCATCAAAACAAGACAGAAACAGACAAAGATTCTACACTACAGTGCAAAGGCAACACACAACACCTGTGTGTTACCAAATGTCATATCAAGGTGTGATAGCCACTTGGGCATTATGATGCACTCAGCTACTGGGGCTTTGTGTTATCATGTACTGCAACAGGACATTTCAGTCCTGCAGATGCACTGCTTGATCTGAGCTAATGGCAGGCTGAATGCATGCAGAACATTAGGAATATGTTTAAAACATAACTACAAACAAATATAAACCATTTGAAACACAAAAACATAAAGAGAGCATTTGTGTTTCAGAAAACACAAAAACATAAAGAGAGCATTTCTGTTTCAGTATTATTCAACACTGGTGATCCTACATTACAGCATTTCTACATTTAGGTGGACACTTCAAAAGTAGAATTCTTCAGTTACCACCCACCACATAATTGCTGCCCTAATCTGTAATCTAAATGCTTTGAGGATGGCCTGAGTGAGTTTGCAGGGTCTTTTGCCTGCAAGCTTGTGCAGAAAGTGGCAGGGCCTTGCTACCAGCACAGCTTTGATACTCCATAAAAAATCCTATGCAGCATTGTGGTGCTGCAGAACCCACAAACCCTCAATGAGTTGCTCACAATCAGGACACTATTGTTACCACTACTGTCAGGCTTAATGTTATCACTTCAATGAGTGGCTCCCACTAAGCACACTTTTACTATCATTATTGTCAGACTTCATGTTATACCTCCAATGAGCACTCAAACTCAGCACACTATTATTATCATTATTGTCAGACTTCATGTTGTACCTCCAGGAGCACTCAAAATCAGCACACTATTATTATCATTATCATCAGACTTCATGTTATACCTCAATGAGCACTCAAACTCAGCACACTAATCATTATTGCCAGGCTTAATGTTATACCTCCAATGAGTGCTCAAACTCAGCATACTATTATTATCATTATTGTCCAGACTCAATGTTAGTACCTCCAATGAGCACTCAAACTCAGCACACTATTATATCATTATTGTCAGACTATAAGTGTTGTAACCTCCATGAGCACTCAAACTCAGCACACTATTATTATCATTATTGTCAGACTTCATGTCATACCTCCAATGACCGCTCAAACTCAGCGCACTATTAATATCACTTTTGTCAGACTTCATGTCAAATTCTTCTCACAATAACCAAACCATGCTGATGGAGACCACTAAGGACAACTCATGTTTTGATGGCACTATGTAGCCACATGACAACCCCAAGCATTCACTTCAACTCATACTAAATGTATGGAAACAAGGTTTTCCACTCAGCACCAGCTTGCATGCCCTTGGGCCAGCACACAATGGCAAGCTCATGATTCCATGTGCATATGTATATGAAAATGGAAGATGGCTTTTTAGATTATAACACATATAGATTATAGGCAGCTGATACATACAGCAGCACATGACAATATATATGACAGCATAATAACATAATATGGCATGATAAGACAGCATGCTGGCACATTTATCACACTGACACTTAATGAAAATTCACACTGAGCTTGAAAAAATGCAAAGATATCAGTGATGCAAACAAAAAGTCCTTAAAAAAGAACATCTATTTAGAGGGTAACCACTATGTCAGTGCACTGAAAATGTTCCTTGAAATCAAAACCTGAACACATTGCTATAAGTATGGCAGCCATGAACTTGATGTTATTCTATTTAATATTCTTTATACTTTTAGAAGGGTAAATAAAAAATCATAAGCTGATGGAATAAACAAAAAATGTATTATATAGATTTACAAGGATCACAGGAATTTGGCTTAGGGTGCAACACAATGTAGGCCTATATGCTCACCCTAGTAACTGGTACACTCTACCTGTTCTTCTTTTGATAAGTCACAAACAATGCATGGCAATTGCCTGTACTCCTTAGTATGCACATTATAAAACAAATCACTGCCCTAAAAATTGGTTACAACTATAACAAATATGGATTTCAAGCTAGATGAGACATCTGCAAGAACATAGACTAGACATGCCTATTCCAACTTCTGCTGAAGTCTTTGTCTAGGATGTTTGTTCTTGTGAGTCAACAAATCACTAAAACAATACCATAAATGTGAGATTATTCCAAAGCAAATATTCAATTAAAACAGCATGTGTTATTTGTGCTGCCTATTGTCTTCAAGACAAGTGGATAAATGACAGCCAATAGCTCTATATCAGTGAGCTTCCCAACATCCTAGAAATCTTAACATGGCATTCCCTCCCATGAACTGCATATTGATGATCAGTGTTTTCAGCAATGATTTCAAAACACATTCAAAAAATTAATCTTAACAAAAATACCACATGTCTCAAGCAGCAGTAAGTCTCAATATAAAGCACAACAGATTGGAAAGTGTTATACGATGAGAAACACTGCTCTCACAACCAACAAATGAAATCAAACCTGCTGAGCTGCTTCTCTATAATAGAATTCCAGCCATTCTCTTAATCCATACTGTGCTCTATAATAAATCAGAACACTATTGATGCACAATTTATGTAAGTTTGAAAGCAATTCAAGATCTGCTGAGGACAATAATTTTGTATGCATTTGCAAGTAGCAAGTTAATGATCACTTGTGTCTATCAATTTATCTATGGGGTATATATAACCCAAAACAACTAGATTGCCATGTTAGCGATCAAAAATGCATCATGCTACAAACTGGGCCACTTTTCATGGATTTTTCTCTTAGCACCCCTGGCAGATTCATTGGGAACATAATGCATGAAAAGTGCCATGACAATCCATGAAAGCACGATGGAGATATATAAAAAAGACACTAAATACAGTTGCCTAGACAAAAAACTTTGATTCTATGGATAGAGGTATGATCAGTATGCATGCCTTTCAAATAGCAGAATGTACTCAATACCCTTAGCATTCAACAAGCATGGATATCAATATTGCAATGGCTCATTACAATACAAATAACCTACTCTTAGCCAGAATACCTCAGCCAAGCATAAGACTACATTACTTTTCACATTTAAGTGCAAAGAACACACTGGAAACACACCTAGATAGCTAGTTCCAAAATATGGATGTTACATGCTATAAATAGAATCATGGACTAAAATAATATCGCACCTTATATTACAAAACAAATTTTCAAATTGCTTGCAAGTGCAGCCTTTTACATACCAAAAACAATAACAAGTTATAGTTTATTGTATCCATACACACCTAAGATACTACGCCAGTGACCAAGCATAGCAGGTCACTGATATGTGGACTAGTCAAGATGTGCGCTACAGTCTGGAATTATCAAGCAGAATAGTTTGATATTGTGTCAAGTTGGAAATCCTGTTAAAAACAGCAGATGCCAATAGAATGTTCCTCACAGATTTAACCCCAATAATGTCAGGCTCTGCAAAGCTGAACCAAAGAAGCACAAAGAAAAAACTGGGTCACAGAACAAGCACACTGCAAACATGCAATACAGTGCCATGAAAGGTTGAAAAAAGCATGAACTTAATATTAACTTCACCAATATGCCCAGAAATGACATTTTACATGAATGTAAGTCACACTCAAGATACCTCCTGTCACATGGGACATGGGTGCACCTCTCACCACTTACCTAGTTGGACTGGAGGTAAATCACAGAGTGGAAAGGACATTTAAATGCATGCTTGGCAATTAATAGGTGTACCAAATGCCAGAAGTTATGTTAACTTACCTCCAAATCATTGTAGGTCTTGAAGGATGCAATCGCAAATCCATCAACAATGTCTTCCTCATACAATGGTTCTCTTATTTTCCTTCGACGATGAAGAGGTCTCGGCGGTTTCTCACGCACTAACACTTCATCGTCGCCAGTTTCATTTCCATTTTCGCGATTCTTTTCACCTACGGCCTTCATACGCTGGGCACGGCGACGCCGATTGCGTTGCCTCACATCTCTTTCCATCACCCTTGCTCATAAGTGCTTGTGACAGAGCGCGGTAACCGGAATACTGCAAACGGTAACTGCTTTCCACCATTCAAAAATGAATACAAATAACACCGGAATCCCGTCCGAGGTAGAAATATTCGATATTATTACCAACCCACACACGGACCTGTGCCACACCGAAGACAAACCTCACGCACCTTGTTTTGTTTAAATGGCGGAGGGCAGCGACGGTCGCAGACATTTGTACACATCTCGGTGATATAGTGATTTGGACAAAGATTTCGATGAAAATGCAACTAAATTGATCTTTCATAATATTTAAATCCTATTTGGATAAATTTGGAAGAAAAATGAAAATAATTGTTGTCATAAATGATGATTGTATCCCTTTTAGTTCGGTCACGCTAAAAACGTAGTCCTGAGCGCGCCACTGCAAGATGTGTTCATCCGCGGAAGGTCTATTTCTTGAAGTGTAGTATCTAGTTTACATCTGGCCGGATACACTGTTTCTTCTTCGCTGCTTTACTGATTCCTTGCACAACACTTTTTTTGATATGCATCAATTTGTTTTATATACGGTTATATTCTAAAAACAGCAGCATAAAAAAATATTCGCTTAAATGTTATTTGCATTCATTAAGTTTGTTTCGAGTTTGTTTGACTTTTGATTAAAAACAGTTCAAATTGTATCCTAGTTTCCTCGTTTTCTTAGAATTAATGTATTGCTTACGTTAAGTAGAAATCACGGCTAAATACGTTAAGTAATAAGGTAAACAGCAAATTTCGTTGTCTCTTTTCCGGCCTATTCCGTATCACCAACGCCAGATTTGTATCCAATATTGTTGACGGACTTGCAGAGCAGAAACTGTGCCGTCAGGAAGTGCTGAGTTCTGCTTGGCGGAGTGGGGGTAGGTGTCTAAGACTGGTTCACTATTTAAGCACTCATTATCATGTAGGACACCACGAACACCGTGAACCAATTGCATGTGAGTGATGAACTAAGCTAGGCAAAATTACATTGCTTTCTTTGAGCATTTTGCTTAAAAAACTGGTGATTATTTTTGCCTAGAGCTACCTTAGCAATATCAGAATGATACGTTTGGTGCAGCTGTGGCTAACCCAACCTGTCTCCTGAATATTAAATCTCTTAATTCATATCATTGATGATGTGGACCACCCCTGCAGCATGGACTCCTCAATAAAGACATTTTCATCCAAAAATTTCATAAGGCCAATCAAAATTCACTGCTGGTGAATAAGCTGGTTACTGAACCTGATTATGTCCTTAGATCAATTGACTGGCATTGTTTCTTATCAAATGAAATGTTGTATAAATTCATGTTGTAGAGAAGAATGGAGTGATCCTGCCCTAGCTTTCATCATAAACCAGCATGTTTTGTTTCAGCAGATACCCAAATGCAAGGATAGACCAACAAATATGAAATTCATGGAGCCAGAAGAAGAGGATGATGAGCTTGAGTATTATGTGACATTTCCTGCTGCTGTGTCACCTGAGTTTCATGAAGATGGCTATTCGGAGCCTGAAAAGGAGCCAGTTGTATTCCTGTTTGGCTGGGCAGGTTGCAATGACAGGCATCTGTCCAAGTATGCAGAAATGTACAAGGATTTGGGGTAAGCAAGCTAGCAATTGACAAGGGTAATAACTGTATGCTGAGCCTCCCCCATGCCCACACTGTGAAGAGCTGCACTGTGCAGCCGATTGGAGGAAGATAATGTTGCTCACATGACAAGGAATGAAAATATATACCCCATCAAACACATTCTACCGCACCAATTGAGCCAGGGAAGGTTGAGCATCTTTGAGTCTTTTGGAGGGTGTTGATGATTTTTATTAAATATATGATGTTAGTTTTATCTGATTTCATATATCATTAAAGTTAATATCTGAATAATATCATATGTCCAGTGAATGCTGTCTTTGCCTGCAAAAAGGCACTGAAATATCAAACTTTTATCAGCTCAGCTCATAGAGCATTTGCACATGACATTCTTAAGTCCTGGGCTTGAGTTTCACATGAGGTTCATGTTTTCATTGCTGGTCAGATGAACAATATCTGTCTGTAAGGAGGCTGAACAATGCATTCCTTCATAGCCAGATTTTGGAAAGAATTAACACACAATATAACTTCACTTCCAAACCACCGACAGATGTGCCACCATCCGCTACATCAGCCCAGTCAACTACATCTTCTTCACACCGCGCGAGCTGCTGGGCGTGGCTGACCAGCTGATCGACCTGGTGACGGACCTGACACTGGAGGTGCACCCGGTGCTGTTCCACTGCTTCAGCAATGGCGGCGCACTGGTGTACCGCTGCCTGACGCGGCGTCTGCGTGAGCGCCGGCTGCCACTGGACGTGCGCGGCGCCGTGTTCGACAGCGGCCCGCTGCGACCGCGGTTGGCCAGCGGCTGGCGAGCCCTCCAGCTCTGCTCCGCAGGTGCGCCGCGCCCCTCAGCAGCCGACCGCCACTCGCGCACCTCGCTGGCGTGAGGAGGAGCAGGGGTGGAGAGATGCTGGTCTTCAGGCAATGTGGGCTGGTTGGAGTCAGTCGGGTGGCTGTGTCAGCAGGCTGACATCAGTACTGGGCCTGTCTTCGGATGTTGCATCGGGCTGTCGAATCGACGTCATGTTTGTTTGGACTCCATGCTGGTGTCTGGGGTCCTGGTGTGGATTTCGGGTAAAGCTTCCTCCTGTTCTCCTGTTTGTCTTGCTGTATCACGTGGGCGCCGTGGGCTAGGTTGACCCAGTCCGTGCCGCGCACGGGCCGCAGCCAACCTGAGCGCGTCGTGCCGCCCTCGCAGGCCAGCAGCGCTGGTACCGCTGGCTGCTGGGCGTGCTGTTCATCCTGCTGATTGTCTGCCGCTTCGTCTGGGAACGGACGCTGGGCTCGCGCGAGGACTCACTGCACCCCTGGAGTCTGACGGAGAGTCCCGAGCGCTGGCCGCAGATGTTCCTCTACTCCAGCGCCGATACGATCACTCCGGCCAAGGTCAGGCCTGTTGCCCGCGGTTGTCATGGGCGGAGACGGTTGCGCGGGAGGCGGGTGGTAGGAGTCCTGTCCCTCAGAAAACCGCGGTCAGGAAACCGCGGGTCTTTTACGTCATGATGAGGAGTCGGGTTAACTTCGCCCAGCGACCAGAAGCGAGGTGTGCAGTATTCGCTCCTGGTACCTCTTCGATCTCGGAATACTGACTTTCTGTTCTTTTGTACTAGCGTCAAACTCGTGTATCTGGTACGAAAGACAACTGAACGCTGCCCGCCTGTGCATGTTGACTTTCCAGCGAAATTCGCCATGAGCTCTGCTCAAGACGACGCCAGTAGTAGCCACGCGCCGACGACACCAAGAGCGAGCGGCGCCGGCGGGTGGCGAACCGCCCGCGAGCCGCCCCTCGCGCCGTGCTGACCAGCCCTGCCTCATCCGCCGACAGGACGTGGAGCAGTTCATGGCGGCGCGCCGTGCCCGCGGCGTCGACGTTACAGGCCACGTGTTCGCCGACTCGGCGCACGTGCTGCACTACCGCGCCGAGCCCGAGCGGTACCGCGCGCTGGTGGCCGAGTATGTGGCGCGCGTGTGCGGGCCCGGCTCGCGCGCCGGCTCGCCGGGGCTCGGCCGGCCCGGCTCTGGCTCACCGCGCCGCCGCCACGCCGGCGACAAGGGAGAGTAGCGCCGCCGGCCGGCGCGGTGCCTCCGCACCCGCCACCGCGCCGGTCCGGTGCGGCCCCGACGCCGGCCGACCGGCCGGCCCAGGGTCACGCTGGTGACCAGGCGGGCGTGCAGGGTCCCCGTGCCAGGCGGGGAGTGCGCGGACCCGGGGTATCGGGCGGCCGGTGGGCACGCCTCCTCGTCCGGCCGAGTCCCGGGATCCACGCCGGATCGCCACCCGCTGCCACCGGCCGCCAGCATGGCCGGACGGGGCTTCGCGCGCTGCAAATCTGCGACGGGTTGTCACTGCTCGAGGATCGGCCCGATCCAGTTGCCGCTCGGCCGCTCGCACAGCGAACTTATGCACGCCAGCGCGATCCATTTCAGTTATCCACGCGGTGTGTTCGTTAGATGCACAAGCGAGTTGTCGGGGGTGCACAGGTGATAGTCGAGAGGTGCGCAAGAGGGCAGTTGAGAGGTGTACAAGGGGGATAGTCGAGGGATATATAGAGGGGATAGTCGAGAAGCGCACAAGAGGATAGTCGAGAGATGCACAAGGGGATAGTCGAGGCACTGTCGCCCGGTTCGTCTGCTCTGTGCGTGGATGTGTAAGGGGGCCGTGATCAAGTCGAGTTCCCGTCCTGATCGATGCTGTGACGATGGGCGGCCGTCCCATCACTGCCTTTATGCTAGTCACTCGCCTCCCCCCTTCTCCCTTCCTGAGGGGCAGCAGTCCGTGGGCTGCCGTGTTCACCGTGTGGGGACTCGAGGCGGTCTCGGTGGCACTGGCATGACCATTGTGGAATGAGCCGCCTGAGGTGCCTCCCAGCTGTCGATCACCACGGGAGATGTTGGAAGTGGGATGTATGTGGTGTACACGCAGGTCGTGCTGCTTTTCCGACATGTACGTGCCAGTCGGGTATGCTGAAGAGCCACCTCAGAAACCTTTCGATCTCAATCGTACCTGCCGGGGCAGGCCTATCAGGGACTTAGTCGGAAGACGCCCCGATGTTGTGAACCGGACTGTTATTTAAAAACTATGTCGCTCATGCATAGTATTGAGTGTCGCGCTGTACCGCTCTGCGTGAGCTGTTTGCACAGTGCGTCGGTGTAATGAAAAGTGGGCCAGACCATCTGAGCATTGCTCGCTTGCTGAAGGCGTTGTCCAGCAGGTTCAAAATCGTCCCAGCGTGGAAGCCGCGTCCAAATGTGCGCCATGCATGCATCGTTGCCTTGCCCGTCCGTGGCTGTGGCGGCGGCAGTTCCAGCGTTCTGGAGCAGTTCTTTTGCCTGTGCGGCGAATGACGATTGGTACGCATCAGCATGTTGCCTTCCGCAGATGTCAGCGACCGCCGCCATGAGAAGCTGTGACGATTCAACTTGCGTTTTTCCCGCTGTTTTTGCTGTCTGACACCTGCCGCATTGTTTTCCGCCATTACACCGCTGCGCGCTGTCGGTCGGCGTCTGTTGGACTTGTCACCAGCATAGCGGGAGAGGCACAGAGCTGCAGTGGCGGACCGGCCGGCGCGCCGCACGCACCAGGCGCGACGTGCGACGGTGGCGCGGCCAGCTGCCGGGGGTTTACTCAGGAGGCGGTCACAGCTGGTCACAGGGGTTGCGCCAGTCAGGGCCGGCTCAGGATCGGGGTCATCGGGGTCACTTAGCCGGAGTTCTAATGCTCTTCATCTATGGGCTATTTTTCTGGTATTTGTTGGCTCGAAATTATATTCGATACCTTCTATTTGATACCTCCGAGAGGGTCCGTTTTATGCTCAGAAAGCACTAGGGGTGTCTTAGATTGCCAACCAACACCTAGAGCTTTATGTCTCGGGCACCCCCGCCACCTCCAGGGGAAGAGAGCATGACCCCAGAAGCCCACCCCCGGGCTACGCCACTAGGTAGGCTTCGTTACGCGATTCTCGCACTACCAACGTGTCTCAATCCCTGGCTGTGCGAGATGGACTGCCGGATACTGGCGAATGGTCGGTCGCAGCCACGAAGACGATGGTGCCATCTGTTGAGCGGTGGCAGAGGCTCGGCATAACCCCTTTCCTGTACTGCGGCCGCTGCCGCCACCCATGCACTTATTCCTTCGGAGGGCAAGCCGTTGCTGGCGAGCTGCCATCTTGTGGCCGGCGAGCCGCCCTGCCACTTTCAGCTGGAGATTGATCCCTTCCATGCTGTTCCTGGTTTCCACGTGCTTGGTCGGGCGGAGGGCCCAGTCCAGGTGCCGACGCTAATGCTGCCCAAACAAACACTTATTTTGTTTTGGAGACATGCTTTTTCCATGAATACGTGAATATTACAGCATCGGTATCACCATTTGGTTGAAGGAATACAAGCCTCTTGCACACAATGTGCACCATCTGGTCGTAAGTAGAATCATTAAGTCTGGAAGATAATGATAGTTTCAGCCATTTTCTGCTACCTCATTCTCAGTCCGCGTCAGCAGCTGGTCACTACTCACTGAGTCAGCAAAAAACTACCGGCGAATGTACAGGCAACTACATACATTCCGGTTACACCTAGGTTATACATTCCTTACAAGACAGACTTATGAAATATATAGATATATCAAAGCACTGTCATCAGCCAACAGTGTGCCGAAATATAATGCTCTCTCGCGAATACGCACTCAAAAATACTATCCATAACAAGATCACTAGCGGCGAAAGTGGCGCTACGCACAAAATCTACCGACCACAAATCTGCCAGAAATGGAAGTAGAAACAATCATAAAGCCCATTTGAACATGCCCTGTCGTTGTGGCGCACGTGGTCCGGCGCCTCAGTGGCAGTTATGACCCACTCCGCCCGGCAGCCTGACTCGCGGAGAACCTCCGAACATCACCGCATCCCCCAGACGTCGACTAGGCCGCAGGCCGGCACAGGGCCGCAGTGACGACGCTCCGAACGAAGCCAACTGGACACGAAACCACTTGAAAACGACGGCTGACTCGACACGAGCGACCCGTGTCACCAGCGATTAAACGGGAAGCCAGGCAACTGCGTCGCAGCCGGAGTGGGCCCCACAATCAAAACAATCTCGCGCGTGAGGCAGACAACGTGAACAGCGCGCTTTGCATGAGCTAGAGCGGATATCGAGAGCTCGCGTGCCGGGCGCCCGCGCGGCCTTCGATAAAATAACTTGTGGTAGGTTTGTGCATGCGCAATCACCCCGGCAGTCGTCTGTGCATGTGCCCTGCCGACCGACCTGGCCGACACTCTTCAGGAGCTGTGGGCGGGGTCGGCCGACCATCACGCGCCGCCGCGCCACCCGGGCCTCCCGGCGTTCGGTGAGATCTGGTCCACGGTCCGGGCCCTCCGGTCTGCCAGCTCCTCCACATCGACGACCCGGCACAGCGCCACCGGTGGCGGCCGGCACGACTGTCGCCCCCCCCCCCTTGCCGCGGGGGCGGCGCAACCGCCGCCGCGCGCCTAGAGCGGCTTGTCCACCTCCTCCCAGCCCTCGAGGTCGCCGGCCAGCTGGTAGTGCTGGCGCCGCAGCGCCGACAGCTGCACCCGCTCGCGCTGCAGCTGCGCCTCCAGCTCCAGCACGCGCACCTGCGCCTCCATCTCCTGCCGCTTGGTCTGGTGCAGTGACAGACTGCCAAAGTCGAACACGGCTGCCGGCGAGGACGCACCGTCACAGTCTAGGTAACCGTCACGGCCGGCAGTTCACGCCGCGGCAGACGGTCAAGGTCACGGGCAAGGCGCGCGGGCGACTCGTCCCATACTGCGGTGGATCGCTCGGCGCGGTGACTTGCACCGGAGCGCCAGCACCGGTTCCCAACGGAACGGCGGGCACACGATCGGAAGGGCAAAAACTGGTGCCACCGGGGCGACTGGCCGCGAGTACATATCAATGGGATGCCGCTCATTCGTAAGGTCAGACACAGGGGCGGTAAGGGACGGTACACTGGAGGTAAGGGGCGACCGGCCGCGAATACATATCAATGGGATGCCGCTCATTAGTAAGGTCAGACATAGAAGAACCTGTTCAATGATCTCGACACGGCAAAGCCTTGTGACTGAGAAACGCTCCGCTCCATGCGCCAGTACTCCTTCACACCCTTCATGCCAAAACAAACTGCAAGGCACTGTAAGAGACGCTGCAAGTCTTCACGCCGGCTGCACGTGCGCGCAGTGACATACCTTTGTCCTCGACCAGCTGCATACAAGACTTGGCGGTGGCCACCACGGAGCCGGTGGCTTCTGAAACACCGCGCGACGCCTGGCCGAGGTTCGCCAGGTTCTTGCTCTGGCGGTCGGCTGGAGATGCGTGGGTCAGGTCAGGTCAGCTGAGGTCACGCAGGTTTACTGGGCTCGCTGTTCATCGGGATGTACCGAGCTGCTGCTGTGCGTCCCTGACCCCGTGACGGGCTCTGGTGTCGGGTGACACGCAGTTCCATGCCCGCCGCCATTTCAGGATCGTGGTGGGAAACACGTTCACTAAATCTTCAAGCGCCGGGGGTAAAACAAGCCGCAAAGCCCGCCTTGCGACGACGCGACGACCTCAGCCCACGCGTTTGGCAGGACCAAACGCGCGCGTCAGTTCGTCATCGTAGACAGGGCATACATACTACGAACAATGTCGGAACTTCGAAACCACCCGACCGATGCAGACACCGCTGCGGGGTAGCGCCAACGCCCGCCGTTGACCCCTGAAGCGGAGCCTCCCCCTCCCCACCTTTGACTTTGGACGCGATGACGAGCTGGGCGCTGGAGGCGGCGATCTCGTGGGTGACCACAATCAGCTCCTCAAACTTGCCCGTGCCTGCCACCAGCCGGTCGGCCGCGTCCCTGTCCGTAGATCGGGGCCAGGGTCAGCGGTGGTCAGTGCCCGCCGGACGGAGGTAGGGAGGGGGCACCGCCAGAAGCACGGAGCTCAGCAATCCAGTGCGACTCGGTGGCAGCGATTTGCCGGCCACTCCGCCGGGTCCCGAATGACAAAAAACGGCAACCTTCTGAATAGCAGGTGGTGACGTTCCGCCAGATTCGTTCCGTCTGCCCAACAGCAACGCTCCGATCCCCTATCGAGGGCGGTGCGTGATGGTAGGGGGGGGGGGGGGCGTCAGAGTGTGCGGAGGACAAACAACGTCCTTCTCCACGGACAGAGCGGCCGCGCAGAGACGGCTGACAGAACTGTGCAGTTTCAGAAGGGGCAACAGAGCCGGTGCGACAGAGCGCTCCCACCGCACGCCAGGAGGGTGCGTTAGGGCACTCTGGCTGCACGCCACGAGGGTACGACAGGGCACTCCGGCTACACGCCAAAAGGGTACGACAGGGCGCTCCCACCGCACGCCAGGACGGTACGACAGGGCGCTCCAGCTACACGCCAGGAGGGTGCAACAGAGCGCTCCCACCGCACGCCAGGAGGGTACCACAGGGCACTCCGGCTGCACGCCAGGAGGGTACGACAGAGCGCTCCCATCGCACGCCAGGAGGGTATGCAGAGCGCTCCGACTGCACGCCAGAAGGGTGCGACAGAGCGCTCCCAACGCACGCCAGGAGGGTGCGACAAGGCACTCTAGCCGCACGCCAGGAGGGTGCGACAGACCACCGCCGACGGTACGTACAGCAGCGACTTGGCGCCCATGCCGACAGCCTTGGCCGCCGAGATGAGGCCCTCCGTCCAGCGGTGGTTGCGCTTGTAGAACTCGGTGGGCGACGCCGACCCCTGCGGCAGGCGCGACACGTGACAGGCGGCGCCGGCGGCGGCTCCGCGCCCGCTGCCACCGCCGCCGGTGGCTGACCGCCCACACGGCACGGCGACGGCCCCGACCCCCCTCCCTCCCTTGGCGTTAGTGACGGCCGGCGGGCGCCGGCCCCGACGGACGGTAGGTGGCAAACGGCCCAAGTTGGCGCATAACTCAGGCGGCGGCGGTCGCGGTGCGACAGATACCGCGGCGGGGAATGATTTAATACGCGACGGCGCAGACGTTCCCGCTCGCCGACTGCTCGCGTCCGCGTCTTTTTTCTTCTCTTCAAAGTGGACCTGAATGAGCCATGGCCCAGTCTTCGACAGGACCCTGCCACCAACACCCCATGCCCATCCCTCAAAACCATGACCACAATGCGCTTGTACCCATGCGCATCACGCAAAACAGCATTGATATCATCACAACTTGGCCGTCTCAAACACTAAATGGGCGTCACACAACACACAGCGTCACAGCCCGCACTCGGTCGTCGAGCCTGCCCTTCTCCACACCATGGACCACAAACTCCCCCCCCCCCCCCCTCACTCTCCCAGTCGCCGCTAACCTTGCCCTGGGCGATGATCTCGGCCTGCAGGTCGCGGCTGCGCTGCACCAGCACCTTGATGGCGCGCATGAGGCCGGTGCAAGAGTCCAGGATCTTCTCGCTGACCTCGAGCTTGACGCCCGAGTCGGCGGTGCGGGCGGCCATCAGGATCTCCTGCGGCGCCGGACGGATGTCAGACCCCGCCAGCCGACGCGCGGACCGAGGCAGCAGACCCGGCCCGCGATACGCACGCTCATTCGGCCGCCGGCTGGGCGGCAGCATAGCAGCTCGCCACGGCCGGCTGGCCGAACGCTCGCCGCTTGGGCACGTGCCGGCCGCGCACGGCGCGCACCACAGCAGTCAGTCGACACCGCCCTCCCGCCGGTCGAGCAGCGAGACTCCCGGCCACACCCGCTCGGCGCGCACGCGCCATCCGCCGGCACAGAGCCGGTCGCGTCAGCCCGCGGCGCCGCACCTGAATGCGCGCGGCCGCCGCCTCGATGGCGCTGTCCATGGCGGTCATCTCCTGCTCGACGAGCGAGGCCACCTCCTCGCCGCTGACGGCGCGCAGCGAGTCGGCCACGCGACGCGTCAGCTCGCCGAGCCGCGCCAGCTCGGCGCGCGCGGCGGCGGCCGGCGCGGCGCGCTCGCCGCCCGCCGTCCGCCAGCCGGCGAGCAGCTGGAGCGACGCCGCCGCCAGGCTGACGCACACGGCCGACATCTCTGCGGGCGGGGCGGGGAGTCAGGGTGCAGGCCGCATGACGGGGAGCCGATCACGAGCGGGATCCGATCACGGTCCGAGGTTCGAGACCGTGGTGCGGCGGTCACGCTACGCGCGCGGGAAAACAGAAGTAGGGGTTCGAGTCCGCACAGTGCCTGTCCAACCTGTCAGTAAAAGTGATGATTTGGGCTTTGGGGCGCATCGACTACGTTGGTCATATGGCGCAGTTACGATGAGAGGCGGGCGACGCCATACAGCCTCAGATGCTAAATGCATCGTAAAGCTTTAATCACAAGCCAAGGCTTGGAGAAAATGGGCGCAAACTCCTTCTCGCAGCAAACAGCATCTATTCCAAACTACAATCAATAAACAGACTCGAACGTAGTTAACTTGCTGGAATGCAGCAGCCTCTATCAACAAAGATGCAAACAAACAAGTAGCACCCCCTCCTCCGCCCCGAAGAGGGCCACGACGCACACCACGGAGCACCCGGGCTCAGCCGAGCACGTCAGGGTAACCACAGGTCCTATCCCTGCGAGCCGCCGGCCGCCGCCGCGCGCCGCCGCGCCGCACCTTCGCCCAGCTGAATGTTGGGACTAGTGTTGGAGGTAGCCTTGCCGTGCAGCAGGAACTGCCCGGCCATGTGGGCGAACGAAAGGAGCCGGCCCAGCAGCTCGGGCCCGTCGCCGGCGCCCGCCACCGGCTCCAGCGCTTCCAGCAGCGGCTCGATCTGACCCAGCAGGTACTCTGGCGGACACGCGGGCAGCGCTATGTCAGCCGCAACACGGGACAGCCGGCATCGGTCGCCGCAGCTGACCGGCGAATGCTGGACACGGCGGACAACGGGTGCTGGGTGAGAACGGCGGGGCGCAGGCCAGCATTAGACACGGGAGATGCTCTGGCAGACATGGGGGCACCGTGTGGTCACGGGGGGGCGGACCGTCACCACACACAGCCGGTACTAAGGCCCACACAGCGGGCGCTGTGGGACTAGAGCGAGGTACAGCACCAGTGAGAGTTACGGCAGCACACATACATGCGGCAACAGGGGACACAGGGGGTGCTGTGAGACTGGAGCGACGTACAGCGCCAATGAGAGTCATGGTAACATGCCGACAGTGGACGACAGGGGACACAAGGGATGCTGTGGGACTGGAGCGAAGTACAGCGCCAATGAGAGACACGGTAACATACCGACAGGGGACGACAGGGGACACAGGGGATGCTGTGGGACTGGAGCGAAGTACAGCGCCAATGAGAGTCACGTTAGCATATCGACAGGGGGCGACAGGGAACACAGGGGGCGCTGTGGGGGTCAGAACAAGGTATAGCACCAATGAGAGCTAAGGCAACACACAGACAGGGGGAACAGGGGACACAGGGGACACTGTGAGACCAGAGCGAGGTATCATGGCACGACTCTAATCGATATAGGGGACGGCAACCACCACAGCTACGTCACGTCTGACCCACAGACACTCGGAGCCTACTCGGGCTGATGTACGCGGCGGTGCACGGCAGTTACGGTTTGCGACATGCAGGTCACGCCATTCACACATCACATCATCACACATCATCGCACCAAGCTTGTCATCGCAAAGCTCAGCTTTGAGCATTTAACTGCATTACAAAGGGGAAAACTTCGCACCTACAAACACCACACACATCAGCGTACATGACTCCGTTTATGGGAGAGATGTACGAAAATACGCCGTGAGATGTGAATGAAATCCCGCATGGACTAATTGTTAAGACTATCGTCCTCGTGTGGTATGTTACCACCTGCACAGACGTGGATGGTATTTCGAACAATGACCCTGTCCTTAATACTAATGCCTCGTTCCAATCTTCACGCAAAATGGTGCAGATGAAGTCCTGCAACTGAAGGATTATAAATTGTGCATGACGTCAAGGCATGCTATGTAGAGCATGTTCGAGACTGAGTGCGGCTGTCTCCACACACACCAAACCACGCGGACAACCCTATCTGCAACCAGCTAACTCTTTCACACTTCAATCCATTAGCAAAATGCTGCTGTTTGTCTGCAATAATTCACTGAAATGATTGCGAGCTATCATACGGCCCGAGCACCACCAAACAGAGGGGGTGGGAGGGGGGGGGGGGCGATGCTGCAGACATCAGGCCACCAAGGTCGCCTGCCGGACCACACTCTCACCTGGAGTGCACGTGACGGCCGAGAACATGGGGTTGTCGAACTCATCCAGCGAACGCTGCACCATCTGCTCAGCCGCTGTCACGCAGTCGACTGCGAACGGCACGGAGAGGCGTCAACACGGCGCACACCGCCGGACGGACGCACGCGCCGGGTGTGCCGTCGGCAGAGCGTGCACGGCTGCGGGGCGGTAAGCCACAGGCGCCGCGAACGACTACACATGGCCTGGTCAGCGTGGGCTCTGCTGCAGTTTGCCGGAGACGCACGACGGCGTGTGGTTGTTCATGCTCACTCTTGCATTCCAACGTCAGTTGCGAACGTTAAAGTAAATATACAATGTTTCGAGTAATGCCTTTCGTCGTCCTCAGGTTTGAGCAGTCCTTGGACGAAGAGTTGTGAGGACTTTGTACTGAAACGAATTATTTACACCTGGCGACGACAAAAAACCTTGATGGTAGCATTGCATATTTGCTTGATACAGCTGACGTGTTTTATTAAATATGAAAATTGGAGAGCGTTCTTTTAATAGCACAACTAGGTCTTAGGAATTAAAGTTAGAGTTAAACCAATTACGTCGATGTCACAAGTAACACATTTTGGGGTTATGCTAAGACGTGCTCACCTCATGCCGGATCAACATCTGTCATCCACACCAACTAAAGCAGTGAAATCACACTATTCCCCTCACCCCTTTACACCCTGACCCTGAGCCGTGCCTTCCCCTCCCCCCCCCCCTGTCCTCCAGCGAGTGATGAACACGCCACCGAAGCTCCGCGCCGCCCGCGGTACCGGCCGTGCTGCGCCGCCCGATCGGTGGTGCGTCGGCTGACTGACCCAGAGTGCGCTGAGCGCGGTCGGCCTGCTCGCGTCGGTGGCGCGCCCGCTCGGCCTCCAGTTCAGCCTGCAGCTGGCGGCCGCGCGCCTGCTGCTCGTCGCGCTCCACCTGTGCCAGGCTGGCGTGCGTGGTCTGCTCCTGCAGCTGGCCCTCCAGCGCCGCGCACCGGCTCCGGGACGTCTGCAGCTCCGACTGGCCGGCGGCGCGCGACGCCGTCAGTGAGGAGGGCGGGAGTGGGGGGGGGGGGGGGGGGGGGGGGGGAGAGCAGGGCGTAACACTGCACTGAGACCATGGCCACCAGCCCGGAGGGAGAATGCAATGACGAACAGATGCGGATGTTTTCGGAAGAGACTGGGTTGTGAGCACGTCGCTTAAACACATGCTCGATATTCAGATGCAACTAGATCAGGCGGTGTATTAAATAGTACCTCCCACTGAAAGGCACAGAATGCTCAAACGCTGGACCTAACAATTAACAGCAGACATGCTGATACCACTATAACCAACCGCCCAGCTCACCCCCGACCACCATACGCCACAGGCTAACCGGCGTCTGTCCGGTCCCGTCGTCCCATTTGCAGCGCGGCGTCCGTCGCGTGCGCGCGCGCCGCTCACCTGAATGGCGGCCAGCTCTGCCGAGCGCGCCTCCGACCGCTGCAGCTGCTCCTCGGCCACGGAACGCTGCTCGCTGAGGCTGCTCAGCTGCAGCTGCAGGTCGGCGTGCGCCAGCTTCGTCTGCTCGCGCGCCTGCTGCTCCGAAAGCACCTGCTGGTCCACCTCGGCCTTCTGGCGGATCAGCCGGATGTGCTCCTCGCGCAGCTGCTGGTACACGCCCTTCATCTTCTGGAACTTTTCGTCGGCGGCGCGCGCGCTCTGGCTGGCTGCGGCGGCGGCCGTCTCCACGCTGGCCGACAGCCGCGCCTCCAGCTCGGCGCACCTCTCCTGCTCAGAGTGCAGCAGGCTCTCCCGCTCGCCTAGCTGCAGCTCCACCTGCTCGGCGCGCGCGCGCAGCGCCGCCGCCTCCTGCTGTCGGGCCAGCAGCTGCTGGCGCAGCTGTTCCTCCACGTCCGGCCGCGGCGGCGGCGGTGGTGGCGGCCCATCCACAATTTCCAGCGTGTCTCCAAATCTGCGAATGGCACGAGCGGCGCCCTCAGCAGAGCGCGCGGCCGCACCGGGCAGCTGACGCGCTCATGACGTCACAACCGCGCCCGAGGCTCTCCGCGCATTCTATGGGCAGGCATATGGCTCGAGCAGGTATCTGGGTAACATCTCAGGGTCGACTGACACTGCCAACTCGCTCACGCCTGCGCTGGAAGTACTGTGTAAATTCAGTCGCGATGGACCAGCGTGGACAAAAGTGAAGAGAACAGAGATCGGCTCTTATCCGGCCGCACGACGACCACCGATAGATGCCGACGTAAGGCATTCCCGACAAACGTGTCGCTGACCTGTCGGAAGGGCCCGACTCCGACATGTCGACTAGCGGGTCCGCCTCCTCCTCCTCCTCCTCCGGCAGAATCACAGCCGCCTCCACCTGGTCACTCCGCTGGCACGCGCGGAAGAAGTTGGGCGGGCTCTGCCGGCAGCCAGAAGACCGTCAGCGGCGCCCAGCGGACGGCAGACGCACTGAAGCTTCGCACAGCAATGTTCAAGACTTGATGTTGAACTGCCGTGCATAACTGGACGTGGTATGCTTGGAAAGTCTGGACACGAGCAACGTTGAGCCAGTTACACCGCTACGGCGAATTTGTCGCAGATTCTCGAACGTGAATTGGCTTTGTTCTTCGTTAGGGGAAGCGTTTAAGAAATGACTGGACGACGGCAGCTAAAGGAAGGATGTCGGTTACATTCCATGTGAGCTGCTCATGCCAAACTGGGGACGCCGCTGGGCTCAGTTGATGAGCGCCATGCGTTTTCGCCGACTCGCTTTCGTTGACCTTCAGTGACATGTGTCGCTCAGCTCCAAACTCCATTCCTCCTGTTTTTAACCCAAATTTGTTACATTTGAAATACTCATACATCAGAAGCGAATTGGACGACCTAAATTATACAGTTCTATTCTGTCGATATCAGCCTGATGTCTCTAGCAATCATACATGTATAGCTAAATTAAGCATTTAACTAGACACACAACGTGGGTTAAGGGTAGGTTCCGCACCTCTTTAGCCTATTACGACACAATTTTAACTAAAGCGGCCAACACACTTTCGGTCAGCAGGCTTTTACCAATTAAATCAGGCAATCAGAACCTACTTGTCATCGAAAACTGGCAAACGCTGAAGCATGACAAAAACATATTGCACCGCAAATCTGTCCCATTGCAGTTTACGAACACAGCAACTCCCATTTCAAGCAGTTATTGTTAACATGGCACCTGCCATATATTTTCGGGCAGATACGACAGAAGTACCTGTTCAAAACAATTCCTTCTGACACTTATGAAGATTTGAAGAGCCTGTAAGCTGCCAGATGACCCATGTTTCCTACTCTGACACATTTATATGATGCATGGGCACCCCTCATTGCTGACGACGGCCTGGTAATGCCAGTGTCTTAGAAAATATTGTGTTTTACCATAATTTGTCGTTGGATCCAAAAATGTTAAGCATATCCCAATTCTGTTGCTGTAGCACAGCATGCTGATGCTGGCCTTCTGACTGGGCACAACTAGCTGACAAATAATGAAAGCTCAGTTCAATCTGCAAGTGGATAATTTGACAACTTGGTGGTCAAGTGCTGGCAGAAGCAACACATTTGAGTTCTGTTATGTTGTTACATATCATGCTATACAATACTAACACTGCATGACCATATTTTGACGAGTTTCAACCACAGCAATATTTGTAAAGGAAATATTAGCATACAAAAAGACTGGCTTCTCGGAGTATATCTGATAACGGCGGGGATACGGCCCCTTCCCAAACCTTGGAAAGTTGTGATGCAATAAATTGGCATAAGGCCCAAATTATTCCCCAGAACTGAGTTACATCACTGATCAAAGTGAAAGGTTTCCAAATGGCTCAGTCAGGACATGGAAATGGAGGACAATACTTGGCAGATTCAGATGGTGCATCTAGCTTTTCCAACTGCACTTTTATAACCCTAACACTCTGCTACCAATGGTGTTTTGACCTTGGCATCCAACATACCTCAGGCAACTGTGGCACCTGGATTAGCGTCTTGAAGTACTGCAAGTTGGCCGACTTGTGGTAGAACTGCTTCAGCGAGGCGAACAGCTTGTTGAAGCGCTGCCGGTGTCCGGAGAGCAGGTCCGGCGGCAGGACTGTAACAGCACGGCGCGCGCTGCCAGCGGCCCACCCAGACGGCGCGGAGCTCCTCCGAACACCACGTCCGCGGCGTCTGAGAGACCCCTGCTCCGCAGCGATCTCCCAGCAGAGAGACGCGAGTCGAGCGCGTCCGTCCCGACCCCCCGAAGATGAGTCTGACGCCACTGTACGCCAGTTGCGCTATCCATAAGATACATCGATAATATCTGTGGTTTCAAATTCCCACTGGTCATCACGCTGGCATAGGAGCCGAGGGGTCAAACAAAATGACAGAGGGAGAGAGAGAGAGAGGGAGGGAGGGGGAAAGAGAGAGAGAGAGGGGGAAAGGGAGAGAGGGAGGGGGAAAGGGAGAGAGGGAGGGAGAGACATGAGAGCGCACGGAACAAGAGCAGTGGGCTGAGAAAGCGCACGCGGGCGATCTACGTCAGCCGCACCCCGTGCCGAGGCACTCACTGGAGTGCAGCTGGAACATGATCTTCATGGAGTGGTTGTAGAGGGCGATCGAGTCCTGGATGCACGGTATCAGCGGCGCCAGGCGGCACTGGCCCTCCTTGGTCATGGACGACGAGCGCGACATGTCCAGCGAGCCGAACACTGAAACGCGCGCGCGCCATGCCGTGACGCTGGCAACGCCGCGCTCACGTCAAGGCGAACACGGGGGCGCGGGTACGGACACTGCCGAATGGCAGAGCGGAGCCGGACGGGTCCACGAAGCTCAACGGCACGACTTCGGCGTGCGGCGCGGCACGTTGCGAACTGAGGTCGCCACGTGATCCATGGAGCGATCATATTCGCAGCACACGCTTAATAAAATGCAGTTCAGTTCAGTGCAATTTAGAAGTTTAGAGGTGGTGACTGACTGACCACCGCAATCTCGCGAGTTCGACAGTCGCCAGGTACCGTGTTGGGCCTTCCGGTGCAACACTACACAAAAAGATTGGAACACCTGAATAGGCTTTGCAGTCGTTAAATGTCGTTGCACAAGATAAACTTCGTTGCAAACCGAGCAACACTGAAGCGCTGCACCTAAATCAAACACGGTTACCGGCCGAGACGTTCACAGGGCCCATCACCAAACGTTGCCGCGCAGCCTGTTTCACAGCAATGGAGCCCGAGCGCAACATCCACGGACAGAAGGCTCTCGGGTGGGCAAAGTTCCGATGAATGCCACAGCAGCCGGCGACCGGGTCGTGTCGGTAGGCGGGACCGAACACCGCAGTCACCCACCGGCTGACTGCATGGTGGCGATGGCCTCCAGGTAGTCTAGGATCTCCACGGCCATCTCGAAGTAGTTGTTGGGGTCGTTCTCGCCGAGCCGTTCCAGCTCGTCCTCGCTGAGCGTCAGCGTGCCCGGAAAGCCATGGTACTTGATGTGGAAGCGCAGCTTGACCAGCAGCACCTGCATGTAGCTCTGGATCAGCTTGCCGTAGGCGTCCGGTAGGTGGCCCTGCCAACAGAGAAACCGACACTGCAGAGATGCGATGGTGGAGGTCAGGCAGCTGTCATGGGGTCCAGGTGGAGCTCATGATGGGGACCGGCTGAGGCTGTAAAGGGAGGGTCACATAGAAGTTACTGTGGAAATGAGGTCACGATCAAATGGTGAATGGAGGCTGTTATAACGCAAGTATCACGTGGAGGTGGAAGCAACTCACTCAACAGGCATACACCGAGTGAACAACGAAGAAAGTGCTGACGAAGCGAAGAGCGATTTGCGGGCCAAGGGGACAGGTCGAAGCTACACAGGGCACGAACTAGAAGCGATAGCATCGGTCGAAGATCCACAGCAATGACATCCCACCCGGACCTGCACCGACCGCACGAACAACCCGAAACATCCGAGCAACGTCACCACGGGCGGCGTAACCGGACCGCGGCACCAGACCACGGCCCAAATCGCACACTTCTAGCCTTCTCGGAGCGCGACCACAAGGCTCCACGAGCGGCCGCGCGGCACGCGTCCGCCGGCGCGGCCAGTGCGGCCCGACGCGGCCTGCGAGACGTACCCAGAAGGTGGCGAGTTCTCGCAGCATGTTACGCCGGCTGTATGATTCACGCATCGTGTTGCGGTACCCCTCACGCAGCACCTTGTGCAGCACAAGGCAGAACTTCCAGCAGGTGATGGGGTGTTCCTGTAGCGGCACGCGCTCGGCCAGCGACCAGAAGGTGTGCGCGCTGTGCTCGTGATGCGTGCCAATGATCAGAGCACGCACGTGCTTGGTTTTGACCGGCATCTCCTGCGAGCTGGTCGCCTTCGAAAAATGCGACATCTGTGGGAAGGAAAAATTGGCTACATAATAAAGGTGTGCTGCTGAATCTACTATTTCTGGAATGCCGGGTCAATAAATGACTGATTATTATCAAACCACATGCAGCAAAATAAATCATTCACACTTCAAGTAAGACCACATTGTGTTTTTTTCTTGAACAGTACCTGAGTTTTTTCAAACTCTATCCTCTGGGCGTCTAATGATGAGGTTGCTCTCCTGTTCAGCAAAGCCCTCTGCACCTGTCTTGCAGCCATGATAAATGGCTGACCTGGAAAAGGGACAGCATCATTTGGAGGGAACACATTGGTGGAAGGTTAGTCCTTCTTGACAAGTTTAACTTATCCACTTTGTCCTTTGAATTCAAGTGTTCTGGTCACAATAGTTATTTCATCTGCTGGAACAGCTTTGACAAAAATATTCAACCCCCTCCCCCTTATAGGGTGATGACAAGGAATAAACATGAATAATTGCCAACTGCAGCTACAATAGATGATGGCAGATAACACATCTCCATTGAATTTGGTCATTTAATGATCTTGTGAGTTTCACCCATCTCTTTTCCCCCTTTTGTTCTTGAGGGAAGAGGGCACAGCACCCTGCAGTGTTCCTTTGTGCAAATGTTCTGCAAATTGTCACATTTCTGCCCACTTTCCTCCTGCTCAAGTGTTTTGCTGCTTTTGGACATCACATACAAAATAAGATACATCATATACAAAATTTGGCATTAATATGTAATTGTTTTTATCTTCAGGCATTGCCTTGCCTTGCACACATGGTTCTTGGCATGCTTTTAGAGTTCAGATTGCTATCAGTAAGAGTTTCACAATGGGCATGCATTGTAGCCCTGAAGGACTCTGGTAGGAATCAAGTTGACAAAAGTCTTACAGCAATTTTAGTTTCATTAATTTAAGAACAATCAGATGAATAACAAAAAACAAGCAAATATGTATTAAATCTGATCATATACTTATATGTGAACATCCAGATTTTGTGGCAAAATGGGACTGGTTATGTGCCAGGGGCATGGTCAATCTTATACTCAGATGTCACCTGGCCTTGTATGTACAGGGTCTGATCTACCACAATACAAAACATGAATAGTTGGAACTGAGAAAAGATACAAATGTAAGAAGTAATGAGCTCCTCTTTCCTGGAAAAAATGATGTAATCAATCCTATCAGTGGGAGTAGGGACAGGATCAGAAAGATCTGGTTTGTATTTGGACTGAATGATTGATAGAGCTAGTGCTGGGCTGGGGTGAAGTGGAGTGATCACAGGTTATATTAGGTTGGGTGATATTCTGTTGTTTTGTGGAGCAATGGTAACTCCCCTGGCCACCTGCACTTTTTATATGCTTAATTCAAGTCAAAGTACCATTAGTGTCAGTTAGTTAAGTACACTGTATCACCTGGGTCATTGCATTTAAATTGAAATGCCCATAACATTTGTGTACTACCAATTTCACTGTGCTATGGAGTGCTGCAGTAGTACATTCACAGGATCATGCACAAGGGGCAGGGACCTGATGCCATATGGCAGCCCATAAGATTCTGACATGCATACAATGTAAGCATAAGAATAAATGCCTATCATCAGAACAAAGCAAGTTAGTTAAAATATGCAGATTGTTGATGACTTGAAATGTTTTTTATTAAAATTTACCTGCATGCAGCAAATAACAATGTTTTTTTGGTAGCAAATTAAGCTGTGCCCTGCCTCGCTCCCCCAACGTCAATTCCCACACATGCCCCTGTGCAGCTAGACCTGACCTGACCTGTTTCAGGCACTGTTACATTCTGAAAACTGTGGGACACACATAATTCATGTCTCAAGAACATACAGATATCTTTCTTGCGGGATGTGACTGGGGGCTTGCTTTCTGACAATATGCCACAGGGCCAAAAAGGGAGGGGCAAAATGGGACAGAATGGTTAAAACTACCATCAAAATACAGGAAAGCAGGTTTCTCTCTCCAGAGATGGTAACTTTGTTCTAAAAGATGGAGGAAACTGTAGCCTCCAAATAAATAGAAACTATATCTCTGGATGTACCATATATCTTTACACAGAATATCCACTTGCGAGCAGAGTGCAACACCCAACAAAATTAGGAAACCATCAATCTAGTTGCAACACATTTTGTGCACATTTTCTTAAGTGTGTAAACAGGCAGGTGATATTGAGGCAAACATCAGGCTGGTTCTGGAAATCTGGAATGTGAATTTTTTAATTGGAGTAGGTTATATTACTTTGGGGTAGCTCATGGTACCTTGGGTCAGGTAGTAAAATGGAACAGAGATCTGGTGGAACTAGCAGGCACAATTTATCACATAAAAAGGGAAGGAATGCCACTCTATAAAGGGGAGCACAGCCATTGTTACAAATGCTTTAAGACCAAGCAGCTGGAGCTATATCACATTGCCTGCCTCTCACCCTGGCAGGAAGGGCAGGCACCCTAGGGAATGAAACCCCACACCTTTGGTTTTCCAGATGCACAACTTAACTTCTTGACTACCAGTACCCTAACTCATCTATCAGTAACTAATCTTGACTACCAGTACCCAAGGTAAGGATGACCCAAAGACCAACTGCCCTATCTTAGCCTGTCTGGTTCTATACATGGATGCTGCACAGATGCAAGCCTTTTTGCTCCCACCAGTCATGTGCCTGCACTTAACAGGCAGACCAGTCACAAACAACTGTGTGCCAGTCTGGCCCAGTATCTGCATGACAGCTTCAAATCTGTGAGTTTTTATCACTGACACTGCACAATGTTTGACACACTTCTTCCTAATATAAATTTTAGGTAAAGCTGTGATGAAAAATGTTGGATGGCAAATCCAGTGAAATTCTTATTTTTCTTGTATGTATTGGGGAAAAATGCAGCTCGTAAATAAAGATAGCACCATTACAAAAATCTTGGCGACCCCTAGTCCTCAGAGCGCAGGCCCCCGCCCAAGAGAGACATTGGCTTCCACATTTGAGGCGGGACCGGATCTGCCCGGAACATCCTGTTGACTGGTGTGCCGCAGTTTGCACACTGGTAGATAAGATGGCCCCTTTCTACCTAGATAATGGGGTGACTAGCGGTTACACGTGAAAACGGAATGATGCGCGTTGCTGCGCTCCGCACCTAGTCTCACACACGACCGAATCCCCTCAGTCCCCGGGCACCGAGCAGCTAGCACCACCCTACTCATAACCAATTTAAATTGAAGGAAATGTTCAAGTAAACTCCAAGTTGTTTTCAACGTCAAACTCAAATTTCACAAAAAATCAAACACTTTTACCGCCAGGACGCAGCTTCCAGGTATGTACTTACCCAATAGGGACACCCGCAGCAAAACGCGCTATCGAATAGCTCCTCGGGCGGAACGCTCCAAACCCTGGCCCCGCAGGAAAATGAAGCTCTCGCAGAAAAGTAAACACCGGAAACGGTCAAAAAATGGCGCACTAGCTCGTAAAACGGCGAATCAAGTCCATTACTTGACTGCCATTTGACCGGCCTAAGCACATATGACTTGGACAAATCCTGCCAAGTTGTTTCAAGTGTCTGCCGTTTCAGTGAAGGTCGCAGGGCACAAATTGATTAACCGCCTAAGGTGTGAGGCACATGTTTTATGACATAAGGAACTCCCCCATCTTAACACATTTGCTCGTTCAATGGCTGTTCCTGTTGTCTGATGCTGTCCAGCTCATTCACCACAGCGGTCTATGATCCATCGTCATGCTTAATTAAGTGACTTCATTTCGTAGTGCTTCACACGTTCATCTCATTGAGCCCGTAGCACGGCACATACGTACAGCCACACCTTCTAAGAATGTTCAAGATATTAGCGAAAACTGGTCGCAGAACAATGAAGCAAGCACTTCAAAGCAAGAAAAAGGGCTGCAACTTTGGCACAGTATCTGATAATTTGTCATTCCCTTTGTAAAACGTCGTCACACCACTTTTATGGAACACCAGCGGCTGTATTGACAATATAAGTGCACAGGACAGGGATGGATCCAGGATTTCGTCAAGGGAAAGGCTACGCTTCACTATGGCGCCCCTGGAACGTGCTGTCCTTCGCTCCTCTCACAGCAATGCTTCCAGGATTCCGACCACCTTACTTTCATATGCTTGCGTTTTAATCGGTCAAATATCTAACATACATTAAAGGAATGATCTGCCAGGATTGAGTCCATCTTTATCTTTCGAGGTAATTATTCCGATTTCTCATGACGAACTTGAAGATTTGGGGACCGTTTGTAGTGCCCATGAACATTAGTTTCGTCTTGAAAACAAAGGTTATGTGGACTCGAAATAAGGATTTTGGTGCCCCTTCGGCCCAAGAGAAGGAGACCCCATAAATGTATCCAAAATTAAGTTGTTAATTGTGCAACTTACGTCACTCAGGGACACTTTCCAGCGTCCTAGTGTTGTTGGGAAGTTCCTTCACGCTGTTGGCCAGAGCCCACATATGGCTCCAATGGCCTCCCATGCAGATCGTTTAACATATGGATCGATTCAAGTCCTTTCTAGAACCTCCCTCGACACATTTGCATCGACCAAGTGGGATTCTCGAGGAAAACATGTCCAAGTTGGTAGTCAATCATTGTTCATACCTTACGTGTAGACAAAAATGAGACATTTAGGTTTTCATAGACCTTTAATCTACCTCCTGGAAGGCTAAACTCAAGTGGAGGAACGCGTACATATTTCTAGTCCAGCGAGATTATCAAGTTACACGGATATAGCATACCCTCAGCCGACCATATCTAAGGACGTAATGCGATAACCACAAGTCATTTTGTCTCTGAAAGCTCCAAAAGGTAAGTTTTTAACAATTTCTTAGCGTTCTATGCAATGTTAATGACATGTCATTCGGAAAGTGACCTTAGCTCACGAGACATGCCCCGTGATGCCTGACTATTCGACAACACCACGCCAAATGCTGCATAATGTATTGGCGCAGCTTACGAAATTGATATTTCATCCGCCTGCAAACGCCTTTGCTGTTGAATGGACGGCTTTTGGCTGCTGAGCTCGCTCCGTCGTCAACCGGTAGCATCTGCTCTGTGCACGTCACGGGAGATTCTACACACACGCACACACAGAGGGGAACACAGGGATTCTCTACGGTCATGGGTGCCCTTGTACATTGGGATGATATTAAGCCACGCCAGGGGTGTAGTGTTCTATCCAGTTTGGGGCAGGTGGGAGGGGGTCTGCAGGTCCCATCCCACCCAACTTGAGCTCCAGACCCCCAATTTTGTGGAGAAAGTGGGTCAAATTTAGGAACAAACTTGTCTGTCGGCAAATTTTGCCGGTAGTTTCCGTCATTTTTCACTGTCCAGCCCCCCCCCCCCCAACCCCACCCAACTCATTTTGTGAAACTACTGCCCCTGTGTAGCGCTATACACTGCCCCTGCCCTGGTGACCAGGACAGCATTCACAATTAGCACATTATTTCAGTTTCATTTTATGGTCATGACCGCTTGTTTCTACCTTGCCAAATGAGTTGTTTAGGTTATAGTAGGTGCTCATGCACACAGGCACGACAACACCCACCTAGGTGCTCAGGGGTTACCTAAAGCACCCACCTTGAGACCTGGGGTAGAAGGTGTAGGTTGTCAAATTCATGTAAGAAACTTACGTTGTGCCTGGAAAATACTTGCTTAATCTTTGTGCGCCAAAAAATGCGAAGTCTTTTTTAGTTAGTATGTTTGTGCTCCAAGCCGCGTGGTCAGCCGAATATGCAGCGGTCGTTCGACGTTCCCAAATTGTCGGACTATGGACGACGAACTGTCGCTGTGAGATAATTCGAAATGTCGCTGTGAGAGAGCTCGAGGTGAGAGCCCAGGTAGGCGCTCGGAAAGCTTGGATTAAATCCCAAAGATAAATGTTGAAGCCTTGATAAGCTCCATCGGCTTATGTTTGATAAAATACGCATTATACATAACTGTGAAAGACATAAGTCTCATTGACGAAAATGCCAACAAATCTTGCGGTTCAACAAAAATAATGACAATCCGTTCCAGTCATGAGTCATCTGATGTTGATACGGGGAGATATATTTCATTTATCGTGGAAGCGTCCACGAGGGTATTCGTCGACGTCTGCATTACGAAAGGAACTTCATCCCAAAATCTGCTGAAGAAATACGTTGCCTGCAGTGGATTGGAAACAAGCCAAAGATTGCTGAAAACCATAAGTTGTAAGTGTAGTGAACAGAATGCGGTTGGAGACTTACATGAAAATTGTAATTTCACTCGGGAAACTTGAGCTGCAGGGCACAGCAGAAGAGCGGGATTGTGCGACCCCCCCCCCCCCTCCCCCCAATAAGGCTAGGACGTTTACTTTTTCACCAAAGAGGGCTTCCGACTGAAAATAAAAATCGGCGTGATGCGCGCTCACCGAGCTCCGGGTCCTTGACTTAGCAAAATCCTGGCAGTGCCGCTGTACAGGAATTGACCATTCGCACCATTCCACTCACGACACGCCACTCCACTCACATTATGTGAACGCAGTAAATGTACGGTCTCCGGCGTATCATGGACACCTTGAAATAGTCTGTTCAACCAAGGGAATATTAAGCATGACAGCGCACTTCAATCATGGAAAAGACTTGTGACATATGGGATGGGTTCTGAGTAAGGATACATCAAGATGAAATGTCATCGGGATGATGCTTTTTCAACATCCCCTGAATCACATTGACTTTGGAGCATAATAATGTCTAGATCTATGCAATAGCCATCAACCCATGTCAAAGTCGAGAAACAACGAAGGAGGACATGCATGTGCACAATAATTTCCTGAGCAGGGTCGTGGTCTCCAGGGGACTCACGACGGGCACCACAGTGAAGTGATCACATGCTACAGCAGCTCCACATCCTCACAATATCTCTGTTGCATTTTCGCAGGGCTTCTCAAGATATGCTTTTGTATACTGGAAACAGCGATGTGAAATAAAGCGCAATTCAGACGCTCTTAATTCATGCTTTTACCAAACATCCGAGGATCCAACGGGCTCGTACTGAACCCCCACACCCATCTCCCCAATCCCCGGAGGACAAGCCCGTGCGCCTACCTCTGTGTGCTTCTCTGAGAAGGTGTGGGGTTTGAGGTCCCTCACGCAAGTGAAAAGTTTCAGCTATGTGTTCAGCCGTCCTAAAGCTACGGCAAATCGCAGAAAGTTACTCATACGAAGGGAATTTTGGCGGACCGGGTGGAGGGGGGCAATAGGTTTACACTGACTGATAACATCACATGCTACCAGTCAAATGAACGCTTTCTTAGTTACAAAGAATTGATAATAGGTTCTGAGATCGAAGACTGTAAAGTATTATCCGTGGTTAAGGCATAATTCAGGGTCTCAGGGTTAAGGCATAACTCAGGGTCTCGCGATGATGCTGGTCACTCGATTTTGAAGCTGCAATGAAGCTGCGTGCTGTTGGTCGGACGCGGGGTGTTTTAAAGGACTCGGACAAATGCAGCGCTTTTTTCTCTCTCTTTAGATTACAGACTATCACAGAGGCGGTGTTGAAAAAGTGTGGCGTGAGAGGTCATAACCTTGCACTGTAGCGGGGACGGTGAATTACTACTGTCACCGACTTTACTGACGAAAACCAGCGCTTCTTACACTGGCTTTGAGTGAAATTAATTCATGCGTTCATTAGTGACAGCACTTCTTCTGTACGGCCTGTTTCTTTGCAAACCCTCTTTTCTACGTTCATATTTATTCTGTCCCAGGCAGCTGCCTACACAACATTGGTCTACGCATCCACCTGCCAGTGGGAAATGACACTACGAGGCCAAGCTTTAGTGCCACAGACACAACTCGCCAGTGGTGAGCACGGCGATCGCAAATCAGCACGCGAAGATTAACGCACTCCACAAAACCGCTCCAACTTAAAGCTTCCGCCAAAACTGGGCGGTGCACGGCGGCGGCGGCTGGCGGGCGTGCACTGCGCACGCGAATACACAGACCACGGGTGCACTGAATGCATCACGAGGCATCACGAGCCTTCGACGCAGCCGCGCCGCCGCCTGCTGGACATCGAGCTTAGCAGCCGAGGCGCCGCTGCCATTCACCGGCGCGCATGGCTTAGCGGAGACGGCGAGCACCCGACACGCGAGCAATGACTGCTCGGACGCGTCGGCACGGCCTGCCGCGTGAGAGGCGCACGTCCAGGTCTCACGCGTGCTGGCCCGAAGGGCCCGGCCGGGCGTCGCGGTCGGTGGCGGGGCTCGAGCCGGGGCCAGGTGCGGCGCCGCGCCCTCCGAGGCCGACGACTGAGCCGCCCCGTGCGGATTACTGCCACACGGGCGCCGCTTCCGAGAAGGTCTTAGCCACGGCACCGAGAGGAGGACGGCGCGGGCCGGGCCGCCGCCGCCGCCGCCGC